AAAAAACAAGCCTCTCAAGCTGATCATCATGTCTGCTACTCTACGGATATCAGACTTCACGGAGAACAAGCGCCTGTTCAGGAGTGAGCCTCCGCCACTGATCAAGGCAGAGGGTCGACAATATACCGTTGTAAACCACTTCGCACGTCGCACCCAGCGAGACTACGTTGAGGAGATGTATCGTAAGGTCTGCAGAGGACATCGAAAGCTGCCCAAGGGTGGTATGCTTGTCTTCCTTACTGGACAGAGCGAGATCTCACAGCTGGCGAAGCGGCTGAAGGAAGCCTTCCCCTCCACGCAAGGACGCGAAGTGAAGCATGGCAAAGTCGTGGTTTCTCCAGCGGAGACGCCACTAGAGGCCGAGGATATCGAGCTGGGCGGAGAGGCTGAAGATCAAAACTACCTAGACGACGATGGTTCAGATTCGGAAGGCTCCGTGATAATGGGACTGGATGATGAAGACGACAAAGAGTTCGAGATCGAGGACGAAAAGGTAGAGGACACTGTTATGAACGTACATGTTCTGCCACTCTACTCACAACTGCCCACAAATCAGCAGCTGCGGGTGTTTGATCCACCTCCTGATGGCTCTCGTCTTATTGTCCTTGCGACGAACGTCGCAGAAACCAGTTTGACAATCCCCGGTATCCGTTACGTCTTCGACTGCGGAAGAGCCAAGGAGAAGAAATACGATCTCATCACTGGCGTCCAGAGTTTCGAAGTCAGCTGGATCAGCAAGGCTAGTGCCAACCAGCGATCCGGTCGTGCGGGTCGTACTGGACCTGGTCACTGTTATCGCCTGTACTCATCGGCCGTTTTCGAGCGAGATTTTGAAGAGTATGCAGCTCCAGAGATCTCGCGAACACCGTTGGAGGGCGTGGTGCTGCAGTTGAAGAGTATGGGCGCTCCAGTCGTCAACTTCCCCTTCCCCACATCGCCGGATAGGGAAAGTCTGCAGAAGGCCGAGAATTTGCTTTCATATCTTGGGGCACTGTCTCTAGATGGCAAGGTCACGAAGCTCGGTCACGAACTTTCGTTATATCCTCTGAATCCACGATTCGCCCGCATGGTTGCGATGGGTGTCGCACAGAATCTCGCAGCTGAAACCATCGCATTGGTGGCTGCCCTATCTGTACCGGAACTCATCGTCCCAGAGAACAACCTCGGACTACGTGAGCCCGTCAAAGACCCGGATGCCATCCGCACTGAGCAGGACAACGTCGAAGCCGAAGAGCGCTCCCGACTGCGCAAAGCCTACAATGCCGCACAGGCCAAGATGAGCATCAACGCGAAGCAGAGTGACTGCATCAAGCTCAGCAACGCCATCTGTGCCTACGCGTACGAGCCCGACTCGCACCGGTTTTGCGAAGACATGTTCCTCAATCCAAAGTCCATGAACGAGGCCAGTCAGCTCCGCCATCAGCTCACCAATATCGTCCGGGCACATCGGCCGACCGCTATCGGAGCATACAATGCAAAGCTTCCAGCGCCTTCAGAGCGAAACATTAATCTGCTTATTCAGATATGCGCCGCAGGCTTCATCGATCAGATTGCTATGCGCGCCGATCTTGCTCCTGTGCCTCCTGAGCTCCCGAGGAAGCCCAAGACAGCGATTGATGTGCCATACGTTACTCTGTTCTCATCACAATCAGAGCGTTCGGACGACCCACACTCAAAATATGTCTTTTTACACCCCTCTTCCATACTCGCACGCACACCGCCAGCAAAGATGCCGGGATACATCATCTACTCCCACCTCCAGCGGGCCGCATCATCCACTATTACTGGAAGCCGAACGCCGAAGACGCGCATGCATCCTCTCACTCCCGTTACGAGGCCGCAGATCATCAATATTGCACTCAATACCCCGTTACTACAAGCGAGTAAGCCAAAGGGCAAGATCGTAGATCTCAGTAAAGATGAACGAGAGTGTGAGGTTGAGATGAGTCTCATGGGTGAGAAGGGTAGCCAAGGATGGGGTCTTGGTGTTAGAAAGGTGGTCCAGAGGAAAGAGCCTGGCGGGAGATATGTTATCGAGCGAATACTTGGCTGAGAGTCGTTTGAGCAGTTGTATACACATTGAGCAGCCATGATGTTCATGCTCATAGAGCGGATTGCGAGGGAACATAGCAATATATTATGAGATACCCCACAAATCACTTCCCACATAGACCCCCATCATGTCTTGGGTCACAGGAACCACCCAAGCCACCAGATTCCTAATCCCTCGACACACTCGTCTCAGCCGCCACCTTCTCACTGGCCAGCACCGTAACCTCCTTCTCCTTCTCCACACTACTCCTCCCCACCTTCCCCTCATCATCCCCCCTCGCCACCCCCACACACTTATAACTCCCAAACTGCCTCGCCGACAATCCCGCCTCAAACATCTCATCAATCTCCTCCAACGTCCTATTCTTAACCTCCGGCAAGAAGAAGAACACCCACGTCGCCGCCACCGCACAACTCGGCGCCCAGATAAAGCCATACCGCGGTCCCCAATTCATACTCTGCGGATTAATAAAATACGGCGCCGTAAACGTCGTCAGCCACGCACCCACAAAACCCGCACTAGCCGCCAGCCCAAACGTGTGACTGCGCAGTCTTTGCGTGGGGAGTTCGCCGCCGGAGAGCCAGGCGTAGGTGGAGATCATGCCGTTGTAAGAGAACATGTAGATGGCGGTGAGGCCGACGGTGACTTTTCCTGTGGACTTTGCGTTGGGGGCTTGGTGGTATACGGTTGCGATGATGAGTTGGAGGATGCCGCAGACGAGGAGGCCCGTCATGAGGAGGACGCGGCGGTTGCCGTAGCGGACTACTATGAAGGAGTTTGCGATGAAGGCGATTATGCTGATGGAGGAGAGGACGTTGGACATGGCGAAGGGGTCGGTTACTTTGGCCATGGAGAGGAAGTAGGCTTTGTATGCTTGGGGGGTGTTAGTGTGAACTTTTGGGTGTGGGTTTGATGGTGGTCTTACCGATGATGAACATGGAGCCTGATGCTGCTTGGAGTAGGACAGCGAAGACGGCGAGGAAAGTGCGACGTCGATCGACGGGATTGCTGAACATGTCGAGCCAGCCTATGCCGGAGCTGGATTCTTTTTCCTTTTCGATTGCGGCGAGGATGGCGGTGGCTTCGGCGCGGGAGTCGTGACGGGCAGGACGGAGCCATTCTAGTGCTTTTACACCTTCTTCGAAGCGGCCTTGGAGGATGAGCCAACGTGGGCTTTCGGGTATGAACCATATCGTGCAGATGATGATCAATGGAAACACGTAGATGAGTCCCAGTGGGATGAGGTATGCTGACTTGTCTGGTCGTTTCGCAGTCGCCCAGTCGACAATCGTGCCGATCAAAGTTCCGAAGGAAACGAAAAAGTTGAAGCCGGTGAGGAAGATGCCACGAAGCTCTGCCGTGCTACTTTCTTGTAGATAGAGCTGCGAGAAAGTCATGAAGTAGCCGTTCGCAAAACCGATAATCAGACGGCCGGCGTAGAGCGCTCCGATATTCTCTGTTGCCATCATCATGATGTTAGCCACGAAGCATGTCACACATGCCGCGACCAGACACATGCGTCGCCCGAACCGGGTGGATGGTAAACCAGCAGTTGCAGAGCTGATGAAAGCGCCCAGCGTCATGAGCGAGGAGATGAGCTGCTGTCGCTCGGTAGTGAGGTTCCATCCTAAGGGTGACTTGTCGGTTTGATAGCCAAAGATCTAACGTGTACAGTCAGTTCGCATTCAGTTCCGAAGGGGAAAGAGCGATGCAGTGGTGTCGTACCTTCAAAAACCCCACCATAGCCTGCAACCCTCCAATCATACCAAAATCAAAGCCATACTGAAACGGACTCAAGATAACTACGCCGCATGCAAGGAACAAGCGCGAATGGTCGCGCCATGTATATCCGTTGTTGTCAGACATGGCAAGAGAACCTCACTGGAAGGATTGCAGTCGTTTGAGAAGCTAGATCTGGGGTTATCTGGGGTTAAAGGCCAGAATCCTGCCTTATACTTTGGAGATCATCTTGCCCAGACTGGGTCGGATGCAGTGCCAACCACAGCGACTTTAGCCATCTGCCGAGTCAACGTTATTGCCAAGTCCTCTATGCAGAGACGCATGCGGTTGTTTGACCCCACAAGTCAGATGCTCTCTCCGCTCTTGTAGGGCCAATGGCGGAGGGGACTTGGCACTTTGCGCTTGGGTGGATGTGGGGAAGGTGTTGTGTGGACTGGAGTGTCTCTGTGCCTGGTGATGTGCATGGCGGGTGTAACTTCTGGTAGATTGCTGGTTATATGAAGATGAATCTTTGGGTATGCTGAGGGTGAAACTGTGTAAATTGTTGCGGGTTGTTTAGCACAGCACGTTGTGATGGTAGTCTTCCAAGGTTTGTTCGCAATTGAGCTCCAGAGGCCTGGAAATACTCATCCGCGTGTGGCTGGGCCAAGAAGGCACGACAGCTCATAATGAAGGTCGGTATCACTGTACCGTTAAGCAGGTGGATACAACTGGGCTAGTAATGCGCGCTATGCACAGCAATTGGATAATTGTGATCTAGGAAAGTATGGGGTATGGGCGTGATGTTGGGGACGGTGGGTCAGAACGGGCGTCGCGCGGGGGTATTAAAGCTTAGCTATACGGCATGTTGAATGCCATGCGCAGATTCCAGTATTGCTTTGGATGTAGACGCTCATGATTGACTTCGAAAAGCTGATTCTGGTGTGAGGGCAGGGCTTAGAGGCTGCCCGAAAAAGTAACGAGGCAGGAGCCGTGTCATGAGGTCTACTGAGCACGTGCTGCCAACATACTACACCTTCTACCAATAGGCACCTACACAATCTGAAGTATCGTAATGAATTCGTAGATTTTCCGTTTCGTGGAAAGCAACGTTAGGAGATGTCATTCCCCTACCGAAGTTTTGGACTGCAATGTTGCAGCAGCCAGACGAGATGAAGCCGACGCTAGTGAGGCGACCGCAACTCCACCCCACCGCGTCACCTTCAACATGCCACGGATACCAACGTCGCTCATCCGCAAGGCGCGCGCAATCGATCCCTACCTGCCTGCTCTTCTTGGGCCCTGTCGCGAACTGCAGGCCGCCCAGAACGAGCTTCGATGGCTCCGCGAACATGTCGAGAAAGTCGCGAAAGCGCGTCGCGCCAAAGGAGACACGATAGCCAAGGCTTCGTTACTGCAACAATTAGTCAAGGACAGAGCCGCCGGGAAGCCGTTGCAATATCTTTTGGGCACAGAGTACTTTGGCGACCTGGAGATACGCTGTAGACCTGGAGTCTTAATCCCGAGGTATGCGATACTGAGGCTTCTCTCCGACTCATGGCTAATGACACGAACAGAGCGGATACAGCCGCTTCAATCACACATCTCGCCGGTCTCCTACGACATGCGGAAGAACTCCCATCGGAAGTACGCATACTCGACCTCTGCACCGGCACCGGCTGCATACCCCTCCTCTTCCACCATGAATTGTCCTCCGCCTCCACCAAAGTGGACCTGCGTCTTCTCGGTGTCGACATCTCCAACAAGGCCCTTGATCTCGCGAGATACAACCTCCAAAAACTACGCAAGACGCGACAACTCCAAGACACTGGTAAACTCGACTTCATACAGGCGGACGTCTTGATCAATCCCTTTGACGACCAGACTGAAGGCGTCTTGTCGCTGACAGCTGCGCTCAATTGGGCGGGACAACCATCCTTCTGGGACATTCTCATCTCAAACCCACCGTACATCTCGCCAGCTGCCTTTTGGCACACGACAACGCGCTCGGTACGCGGTTTCGAGCCAAAGCTTGCGCTAGTGCCTCCACGAAGGATCAAGCAGACAGATAAAGAGCAAGGCGATCGCTTCTATCCGCGGCTGCTCCAGATCGCCAGAGATGTAGAGGCCAAAGTCGTCCTATTCGAGGTCGCAGACATGGAGCAAGCGCTTCGCGTAGCGCAGAACGCACGAAATCTAGACATCTTCGATGGTGTCGAGATATGGCGGGAACATCCCGATGCCACCGGGGACGCTACAACCGAGGATGGCTTCGAGGTCGTTGGACAAGGCAACGCCCGATCCGTTCTCTGCTGGCGCGGCCGTGGGACGTCCTGGCTTGGCAAAGCTGCGCCGCCATCTTCACCACGCGACGATGCGGATCGTCTCTTTCGAAGCGCACACACCAAAACGAAAGATGCAGAGGAAAAAGTTGCAGAGGTCACCGAGAAGCAGCGATTGGAACCGCAGTTTGACCTGAGCTACTTCACTCATACGAAGTACACTGAGCTTCCTCTCCGTCGACAGCCTAATTGTCGGATGCCTAACGATGATGAATTGCGGAGAGAGGCAAGTGAAAGAACAGCTTCTTCGATCAAGAGAGCGGTATCTGAACTTGCGAAAGACAAGGACAGGTAAAGCATGTACATGTAATTGTCCCGCCTCCTGGTGCCGGCCACTATTGCGTCTAGTGCAGTCCATGTCGCCTTCGGGCTTGACCTGCAGCAACCTTACTGCCACTCGCATCTCCGAATCGCCACATCGTTCTGGGGTTCCGGCTCTTCCGTATTCTTTACTTTCGCTTCCCGTTCGACCACCAACACCTCTGAGCATTTCTCGTAGTAAGAGCCAGCAACGGTTGCAGCTGATATCTTGCGTCATACCAAGGCATTCCATTCGTCTGACTCTCGATTATGTCTCTCCGGGAAGCAATATGCTACAACGTATGCGGCAAAGGAAGTACAAGTCGGAATCGCTGTCACTAGGCCGCCTTGCAGCGACGACTTCTGAGCTAGTGCAATCAGACCCATGCACACACTGGCTAAGGCGATCGTGAAGAGAATGTATCTGCATTGGTCAGATTGACGATACGAAGTAGTCGAGAGCCGTTGCTTACAAACGATGGTTCGATACCCGTTGGCATTGGACAAGGAAGTACATCGCTGTCAACCAGGACCATACCCCGAACACCCTGGTTCCGTAAGCATGTATCCTAGGATAGTTCCAGCAATGCCTACTTACATCCAAGACGCTTTGGGACTGATGGCACTATCGTTGCGCATCATGAGCCACAACACGCTCGTAATGCCCATCGCTGGCCCGACCAGGGTTCTCGAGAAGGCAGCAGTTGCCTGGCCAATGAAAAGGAGGAGGGTGATGAAGAAACCAATAGGAAGGCGAGAATTGTGGTAGTGACCCGCAGTGGCTGTGGACAGGGCGTGTGGTTCGTCGAGCGCGGCTGTGGGCGTGATGAGGGCCACGAAGGACCATGCGAGTATTAACCGCATCGGGACATGAACACGCTTGCGTGCATAATTGTTGGACTGGGTCGTTACAGCTACGAGGAGCCGCACGCGCCGCATACTATTGGACTGTTCATGACGGAATTCGCTTCTCATGATGTGAGGTGGATTGAAGTTAACAATGGGGGTGAAGTTGAAATGATATTTTCTGCCAAGGATGTCTGGTTGCTTGGATGCTTGGGCGTAATGCAATTGTGAAGTGCGTGATGATGGAGTGCTTGGATGATAGTATGCCCTACTGTCTGTATAATTTCTGAACGGCCCTGATGGTGGGCATTCACACAATATAACATGAGCCTCTGCTGTGGTTCGCCTATCAGGCAACCAGGCAAAAGAAGGCAAACGTCCCTGGGCACCGGGCATGCTTTCCTGCACGCCACCGTTATACCTGCATCAAGCAACGTCCAATCCCCGTCAAGCCATGTTATGGGGTGCACCGTCCCCGCTCTTAATACATGCAAACACACAAAAGACGTTCAACGTGCGTCATCTTCTCTCAAAGTTCAGAGAACGTTCTGCGAACGACAAGAAGACATCGTACATTGTGATCCTAGAGCTACGGGCAGGACGCCCGGGCAAGCCTTGGAAATAGTTCATGTTCCGATCCCCAATGGTTGAGTCTCAATCGCCGTATATGAGATGAGTTAGATGAGACCACTGTGGTAGAAAGATCGTGGGGGTATACAAGTACGTTGGCACGTCGGATCGAAAAACCACAACCACAGCCACAACGACGAAAGCGAGTCGTTTGCAGCAGGGCTATACCCCTACCGCTCATGACCTCACCTAGGGTCCTACGCTGTCTCTGAGACTCTATGCAGTACCCTGTCGTACCCGTCTCCCATAGTTTTATCTCGAGTAAACCTATCAACGCCAACCTCATCTGTATTCTAGGCCATGACAGGGTCTCCCATACAGACTAGGGCATGTCAAGATCTAACCAGTGCTGCGTCTGGGCACCGCCGTTTATCACCTAAGGCACTTTGCTTCTCCCGCACAGACCAGGGTACGTCAAATTCTAACCATTGCTGCGTCCGGGCGCCGCTGTTTATTACTAAGGCACTTCGGGGTTGAGGCGTTCCATTCGTAGGTGGAGGTTTGTCTAAGCTGCAGCTCAGCCGATACCGACGTCAGCTGGGCGACGCTCTCGGTTGAACGCTGTTCATCTGAATTACTTGCTGCGGGACGTGCCGTGGGTTTTAGGCCGATAGAGTGATCGATTGCGAGACACAGGAGCTGCTTTTCGTAGGTTGAGGGTACATGCTCGTCGAATTTTGAGAAACATGTGATCAGGAACTGTTCACATCAAGCAGTCACAATGACAATAGTTCATTATTCGTTACATGGAGAGAGCGCAACAAGTCGTCGCTGGACCTTGGGAGGTATCAGAAAGAGTAGGCGACGGTAGGCGGAAGGTACGATGCCCAAATTCTCGCATTCATTCCAATCCTTAAGCTATGCAGACATTTATACAGAAAGTGCTCGATAAAACAAAACGCCACGAGCCCGTTACGAGTTGATACGCGAGCTGACATATGAAAGACTGACATTGGCGATATGAAACCCACATCCCGAACAGCACGACTATTCTTCCAGCTCGCTCCGCGTGTGTTCTCAAGGCAGCAAAGGTGCCTTCTCCTCTAACACGGGACTTCTACAACGGGCGAACTGAACTGTTCTGTGAAGTATGGTGCTGAACAGTAGAGACAGCATAACGGTCCATGGTATGAATTGAAGAATGGCTTCTTGCAATCCTCCTCTGAGAAGAAGGCCGGAGGCGGCACCAGACGTTATTCCCGCGAGGAGGAAATGGTCTTGCCACTGATTGTGAACGTTGACGCGGTATATGATGGTAGATGCGGTGAAGAATGCGATGGTCGATACGGCCATGTGGCTGGCGGTAAGGGCGCTTGTCTCTAGCAGCATACGCAGTGGCCATCTGTGTTGACCGAGATCAAGTGCTGCTATTGTATCCACGATGAAGCACAGAAGCATCGTCGCACACAGTAAGCAGTGGTGGAGCCGTGTGGTAGACTCCATAGTGCCGTCCCCGCATTTGCAGCATAACCATCGTGGTAGTCTCATCGCGAAGACTAGGTTGTAAGGTTGGTCGATGGTGTAGTGGCAGTTCGATGGTGTAGTGACAGTGTTTATGGTAGTCGTTAACCGCCGTCTCGAGGTAAATGGAAGAGTTCGTGCCGGAAGAGAAGTTGAGATGATGGGAGGTTCAGGCTGCGGATAGCAGCAAAGGTTGAATGCGTGCCACATTTACGGCCTTTAAAGAATCATCATCTGCAGTCGTCCCACAGTTGTCACACGTCAGGACTAGCTAGGCTGACAGATAAGGCGGGGCTTTGTTGCCCTGTTGCGAGCTGATGCATCAGGCTGAGGCGCAAGCCAGATACCGGTGTGCGCTCAACGAGTCCTCCACCATGATCAGCGAACCGTAGCTCATCATGCAGTCCCGCGTGTGCTACCTCGTTACTGTGGCGTCACAAAGGCGTGGCTGAGTCTGATACACAGCCGTTGTTTTCTTCTCGTGTCACCCACCCCCATGTACCGGTGGCAGCTTGCTCTGCGTCCTCCACCATCTCCAGCGAACAGCGACGAGACACGCAGTCTTAATTCTGCCTTACTGTGTGCATGAAGCCGCGGAAACATGGGCTGAGCTCAACAACACAGCCACCATTTCCTTTGCCCTGTCTTCTGTGACCGGTCTGAGTTCACACACTGTGCTATGGAGACTCGCAGAGCGGTCCTTTTTCTGGTGCGATCCCCCCAATTTCTCTTGCAACTGCTTCTTGGTCGACGCTATACTTTCCAACCTTGACTTCTGTAGGTTGGTCCCTTACTCACTCTGTGTATATCTGCTGACCTTTCTAGAAACTGATAACAGCAGGACCGGGATGCAATTGAGCAACGACTTCGGTGCATCGCAATCCAAAAGCTCCGCCATCGCTTGGAAGGATACGACGATGGCTTCTCCAACCACGAAACCTTACCAGGATACGACTTTCGGTGCCGCTTCTGCATTGACGAAACAAATGCGCGTAACGACTGCACCTCGTACGCCATTCAGCGATGTTTTGACATCTCTTCTTAGCCCGCGAAGCCGACCATTGGCCAGAACGATCTTCGTTCCTCTAACGCTCCTCCTCGTTTTCACGAACTTGGTCGTACCCGTGGCAGCGATGGACAACCAGATAGCGCTAGCCCCGTACCCAGTCCAGAACACCTACGGCATTTTCACGGCGAACCCGCCTCCTGGGTTCCCTATACGCGTTCCTTTCGCTAGTATAGGCACGATGGCGTTCTTCGCTATCGGATATATGGTGACCATGGCGGGTCAGATGTTGGGCCCGTTGATGGGCGTGACGAGTGTACTGTGGTTCATCATGCGCAACGACGCAGCGGTTCAGCCGAGCTTCTCTTGGGCGTATGTATCCACTGTCCTATCTTCGCTGGGTTTTACTGATTTCTACGGACAGCATCTTTGGCATTTGGTCCATTGCGACGATGATGTACCTTCGGTATCAGACCCGTCGAGTGAAGCTTGATAGCCTGTAAGCCTCCTCGGATAACATTAGAGCAAGCGTCGTACTGACCTCGGATCAGATATATGCTGGTTACCTTAATGTTCGCCGGGATATGCCTCTGCATTGTTGCGCTTGTGCAAAAAGCCTCGATACAGGGCGGGCTTGTTACCGCCATTCCCCCTTGTACTTCCTTCGCAGCGTATGCTGTTTCGTTCCTTTTCCCTGATCGCGGACAGCCTTCGCCAGAGTCTCCCGTCTGATTTTCATCAACACTCAGCTTTTCTTTCGTTCTTTAATGTTGAATTCTTTACATTACAATGTAGTATGAAGACGCAATGTACGACAGGCGTCAGCCGTGTTTTCTTATTGATGCATCGAACGACCCCGCGCTTGGTCAGCATTCGGCGTTCTCTATCCGCGGAAGAGCCATACTGTATATATCCCATGCTCAACGTTCTCAATATCAGGTAACTAGCTATCACAAAGCTATCGCAAGTAATAGGAATCACCTTTACTGTTAAATGACGCTGCTAGAATATCGTGAATACTCGAATCGCCTTTCGTCTATGACTGATTGCACGAAAGACAAAAGGTTAGTTCGTAGTTCAAAAGGAAGCGTATGCATCGCTGGGTCAACGCCCGCTCCAATATATGTATAGTTGTTCCAGACCTTTTCCGTAACTCCTCGCTGTGTGTTCGAATTCCCACAATCCCAAATCTACCCATTTCGTACTGCCCAAATAGCATGATATGCTAGGCACCTCATCCATTTGGCGTAAATGTTCCTCATACAGCTGCCTAGCTCACTCACGCAGAGAAGTGACCACCCGAAGAGTCCTGTCCCGGGTTCGCCTGCTCGTAATTGAAGTGCTTAACGAAGCGGTAGTACGCCGAAGCAAGGAGCGCACCAAGCAAAGGACCAACCCAGTAGATCCAGTGGTATCCGACGAACGATGCTGAAGCAACAGCTGGACCGAAACTGCGCGCGGGGTTGAGCGATCCGCCAGTGAAGTATACACCTAGTACTTGTCAGCTCAGTACCCCAAAAGCGAAACGGAGAACGTACCGCCCATCATGGCTACAAATAGCGCCAGTCCGATGCCTATGGGTGCAAGAAATGTTGATTTGCTCTTCTCCGCAGCTAGCATGAGCACGACGAAGACGAGTTCAGCTGTCATAAACATCTCGATGAAAACTCCCTGGGCGATAGACGTGTCCTGAGACAGCGAAGTATTGACAGCACTAATGTCTCCAGGAAACATAGCCTGGACGATTCCACCCGCGCACATGCATGCGAGTAGCTGGGCGGGAACGAGAAAGAGGGATCGGATGAAGGGGAGTTGACCGGCAACTACCATGCCGACGGTAACCTGGAGATATGTTAGTATCATCGACATTTCAACGCGTATCCTGGAGGATACTGGGAGGGTACATACCGCCGGATTGAACAACCCCCCGCTAATCCGAAAGAACGCCCAGACATTGACCAGCAAACTGAAGCCATACACCAAAGCAATAAAGATGTTCTGCTGACTGCTCGCAAACCCATTCAGAATCGACCGGTCACTTGCTTGGTTGATGATCATGAGCTGACCGGCAAAAGCAAAGTAGAGAAACATGAATGTGCCGACAAACTCTCCACTCGCTGCGACGAGGTGCCCTTCCAGATTGCTGAGATGTTTCTTGGGTTCCGGGGCGGGTACGTCGTAGTTTGATTCATTGCGTGGGAGGGGACTGCTGTTTTCGCTTTGGCTTTGGCTTCTTTGGTGGCTGCGGGAACGGTGCGGTGGGGGCTTGGGCTCGCGGTAGGTGTTCATGCGTGGCATCGTCGGAAGATGAAGTCGGATTAGAGATTACTGGGGATGAATATATCGACAAAGGTATCCGCAAAACAGAGTACAAAAAATAGTGATGAGGGACGACAGTTACGACATGGACGCCTAAGTTGGGGAAACCCGACCTAAAAGACGACCTAAAAGGAATTACGGCCGCCGTTATACTATAGCGGTCAATCATTCGGATTGACGGGTTTGTCATAGCCAACGGCACGGCGACGGCAGCATGACGATTGTGACGGAAGATGCACGTCAAGGGTCCACATATAGCCCGAACCATTAACTGTGGGGATCATCGCTTGTGAACGGCAAACTTCAGCCACGGCTGACTGGAGATGAGTCTTTTGTTAAGGCAGCACGGGGGATGATAGGTTTCGAAGTGTTGGAAGAGCAAGAATATGCCGTTGCACACGGCTGAAGCCACGACTAGCCTGACGTTGGTGGCTGTTACAGATGTCATGACGATGATCTGTGATTGGTACTAGGGACATGCCTGTCTGGAGGCTGAGGTGTTGAACGAACGAAAGTGACTCCGCGGAAAGAAGCTCTGGAGTTCTGGACGGCGCACGGGAGCTAAGAATGTCGAGAGGCTTGAAAGCCGGCCTAGTCGCCAATCTTGTTTTGTGTTGCGCTACACATCTATTTGAGTATTGACAAGCGGATACGATTACGACAGCCTCGTACCGTAGTAATATATACAAAGATTTCAGAGCTCACCTGCTTTTCTTACCCTGGACTTGGAAGATCTGTCGTTTCCTACGGTCTTCCCAGCGTGCCCAGCCAGAATCAACGAGATCTTCTTGTACTACGAGATCTCGCACGCGCAACGTCCTCAAGACCCAGGTCTCGAGAGCCCAGTTTATCCAGCCGGCCTTCCGCAGGAAGGTTGTGAAGCCGAACCAAGCTAGAGCGAAGAGGGCGCCGGCGGCACACCCGACGACAACTTGCTTTGGTGTATGGTAGCTCAAGTATATCCTGCTTGCTGCTACAGCTCCTGCGCAAACCATTGCTAGAAGCGAAAGGAGGACGCGGCCGCCGAAAGAGAAGGGGGTGTGGGTTTCGGTCGGGTGTGGGACGTGCCGAAAGAGGAGAAACAGGCCTAGGGTGACGGAGAAGAAGGAGACGAACTGGGCATGCGAGGAGGGCATTCCGTAGCCCTTTCCATGCATTTCTGTAAAATTATCAGTACTACGTTCACATGATATACTTTGCCAACATTACCCCGCGGCCGCTCTTCTTTGATGTATCTCTTCAGAACCCAGTTGAGCGCTTCACACGCCATTTGGCCAGCAAACATGAGGAATATCTCAATCTCGCGATTTGACCATATCAGCGTCGCATAAACGACGCACAGTCCCTGGGGCACAAGCGCAAGCCATGCGCAGAGGTAGGAGACGCGGTCGGCGGGATTCTGGGCGGATTAGCAGCGACTCTGGCTGTCAGTAGATGAGACCAACATAGTGGACATGCGTCAAGGACAGCGACGCAAGCGGAGGGGCCTCCATAGCAACTTCACGTGGGAGGTGCAGCGTGTCAAGAGTGAAGGGTGCGCATGCCGTGTCCATGACGGCGCAATCCCGGCGGTACCCTGCCGGCCTTGGCATGCGAGATGCCTCGGTGATGGGATTGTGCTGCATACATGCTCGCGTCTGCTGCAACGGCCTGGCTCTTGAAAGCCTCTATGGAGTCGCAGTGATTGCAGTCAGCGCCTGACTCACAATGGGCCTCTTCAAGGGGGCTTTTGCCTTTATGCGCTATCGATAGAAGAGAGTCGCCACGCCCTTTTCACACTTTGTTGCGACCGCATTCGACTTATCTCCGCCCTCTCTCCGCCGCCGCCACTTTCATATACAACCCGCTCGCCGATAGAAACGCGGCATTCCTAACATCTGCCGCTATGACCGAGTTCAACCTGGAAGACGAGCGCGCCGAAGAGCTCAGCACGCTGCAGTCCATCTACCCGGAGCTGGTCATCAACGATAGCGATCCGTACTCGGCCACTCTCGAACTGCTCGTCGCACCCGCCAAGCCTCTACCTATCACCTTTGCGCCACAGCAAGATGTCGAACGACTCCCATACCTACCTCCGCTGCGTCTCGAAATTATACTGCCTGCCGAATACCCCGAACATCTACCGCCTGTAATTCGACTGTCGACTTCGCCTTCATGGATCCGCGAGGATCTACAGGCCCGACTGACAACCGAAGCGAAGACACTTTGGGAGGAGTATGGAGGGGGTTCCATACTCTTCTCGTACATCAGCTCTCTCCAAGAACAGGCCGAGAATGCCTTTGGCTTGGAAGACCTCACGCTACCCTCGTCCATGCAGAAGGAGCTGGTTGACTATAGTCGGCGGATGAAGAAGGAGCTGTTTGACAAAGACACATTCGATTGTGGAGTCTGTCTCGAGCCGAAGAAGGGATCTGCCTGCTACCGCATGGCCCGCTGTAGCCATGTTTTCTGCATCAACTGCCTGCAAGAATACTACGACAGCTGTATAACAGAGGGCAACGTCAATAACATCAAATGCATGTCCACGGAGTGCGGTAGTAGTGGGAAGAAGAAGGACCGGCTACTTTCACCCAAGGAGCTGTTACAAATCCCTATATCACGCGACCAGGTCGAGCGATACGCGAAGATCAAGCGGAAGAAGAAGATCGAATCCGACCCGAACATCGTATATTGTCCGCGCAAATGGTGTCAAGGCGCTATGCGGTCTGACAAATACCCTAAGATTACGGACGTAACGCAGATGGACGATTCGGACTCTGAAGCAGACGACGAGGGCCCAGCTCAACCACAGGAGACCCAGACCGAAAGCGGCCCGGAAAAGCGTGGAGTCGGCGTACGAGGTATGGAGCGGTTGCAGGTCTGCGAAGATTGCACCCTTGCCTTTTGTGTCATCTGCCTAGCATCGTGGCACGGAGACTTCGTACGCTGCGAGCCACGCAATGTCACAGAGCTCACCGAGGACGATCAAGCATCGCTCAATTTCATCATGAAGAACACCACACCATGCCCGTACTGCTCTGTACCCTGCCAGAAAGGTTATGGCTGCAATCATATGGTAAGTTCTGACCTCATAACATGCATATGACAAACATACTGACTTCGTATCTCTGCAGACCTGCGCGCAGTGCCAAACACATTTCTGCTATATCTGTTCAGCATGGCTCAATCCGGACCATCCCTACCACCACTTCAACGAGCCCAAGTTCAAGAGCTGCTTTCGGCGCCTCATGGACGGAGTCGAAGGCGATATGGACCAAGGCGGGCGACAGTGGGGTGGTAGGAGGGGAGCTGAGCAGCTGGCGGAGTTCTGGGAGGAGGAAGCTATGCGGATCCAGATGGCGGAGCTGGGCGAGCTGGTGCAATAGCAGGGGTACCTTGTACGAAGAAGAAACTCAACAGGTGCGCTGCAGTCTACATTAGTATAAGAACGAAGAACAACAACATTATGAGGCACTGTAGAGAGCTGAGTGAATCGAAGTTGCAGTGTGTTGCAAAGATGTATTACATTATCATTACGGTTCCATGACCTACCTATGTACCGCGAATCGACCTGCTTTTATTACCTCCACTCACTCATCACCTCCTAGGCCAATGGCTTTGCGCCTGACAACTGCCCTGATCCAGCGATCACGACATCGCTCAATGGCTTATCACCCGGTCCAGTCCTCGTCGCCTCGATCTTCCTTATGACATCCATACCATCTAGCACCTCCCCGAATACGACGTGCTTGCGATCAAGATGCGGCGTCGCAGCAGTCAGAATGAAGAACTGAGAACCGTTGGTGTTAGGACTGTGGGAATATCAGTAAAGTCAACCTATTACCCCACACAAAGGTCAACGTACCCAGAGTTCGCCATACTCAACAGCCCAGGATGCGTATGCCTCAACTCAAAATTCTCATCATCAAACGAGTCGCCCCCAAAGATACTCGCACTCCCCGTACCATCGCCGTTCATGAAATCGCCTCCCTGTATCATGAAGTTGGGAATAACGCGGTGGAAAGTACTGCCCTTGTACCCGCCGCCGCGCTTCGCCTCGCCTGTGCAGAACTGGCGGAAGTTCTCTGATGTCGCAGGGACAACGTCGAGGAACAATTCCATTTGCACGCGGCCGGCTGGCTTGCCGCCGATTGCAATGTCAAAGTAGACAATGGGGTTGTCGGGGGAGCGGCGCGGTTTTACGGTCGGGCCTTCATTGGCGACGGGGATGTTTTGCTGGGTTTGCGCAATCGAGGCTGCGTTTTGTGACTGTGAGGGCCGCGCCATTTCGGTTGACTCGCCCGCTTTCTCTTTGCTGCCGCAGATACCCATTGTGAGGAATTTCGCTGGGGGGGTTGTCGTGGGGCGAGTGTAACGTGGATGTGTTGTTAATTTAGCAAGAGTGGTGATGTGCAGCAGGGAAGTCTGGAGATCACAGAGGCCGAAAAGTTGGGGCTGAGGCTGACAATGGATGATGGCATGGAGCGCTACGGGAGAGCTAGCGGCATCTAGACTGTGGAGAGAAACAAGGTTAGTGGGCGATCACTCTAATACGTGGTCTTCTCTGTCTTTTGCGCTTAAGCCTAAGAAGTCTTTCTGCGTACTTTAGTTATATATATTAGAGAAGAAGATATTTAGTAATAGTAGTTTACTAGGCTATTTATCTAAAGTAGTTATTTTTATATATACTTATAGTAGCTAAAAATAACTTTATAATAAATATATAATAAGTTATTATAATAGCTTATAAAGTAGAGATAGCTTATACTATAAAACTAGAGTTAAAGCTTAATAATATATTTATAAAAGTGTATTTACTACTATTTTTATTTCTTTATTATAATTATAAACGCTTTAAACTTCTAAAATTTTTTTAAATACTATTTTTTTATTTTTACTAATAACTAAGTAACTTATTTTACTTTCTTAGTTTTTATTCTAAATTTTAAACTTAATATAATTTACTATAAAGCTTTATTTACTAAGAAGCTATTAGTAGT